TATAGGGATACATTAAAAGTGTTCAGCTTGGCAGCTTGAATTTATTGCAGCATTGGGTGAGAACAGACTAAGTGCTTTCACATCTTTAAGGGCATAATAACTTCTGACATTTGTCTCTGCAGTGTTTTGTTTGATGTTTTCTATCGTTAAATCTCAAATAGTTCTGCTGCTGGAGGTCTGACTTTCCATCCCCTGCTTTTTAAAAGGGTTGTGAGAGAAAAAGAGAAAAGCAGAGGTGTGGCAGGATGGAGTGTGAAGGGAAGGCAGGACCAGGCATCCCAGCTTCCAGCCTGGCCCACAGGATAAGGCTGGAAACTGAGGAGGAAAGGGGCAACTCCCAACCTGTACTGCTCCACAGCGTTGAAGAACATCTGAAAAAGGCTTATCTTATGTGAATCTTTCATTTCAGGTTCACCAAACACACCCCTCCAGACCCACGTGCTGTCCCTCACCTTGGGCTACTTCATCTTCGACCTGGGCTGGTGCCTGTATTTCCAGACAGAGGGGGGCCTGATGCTGTTCCACCACACCCTGAGCATCTGTGGCATGGTCCTGGTGCTGGGGCTGGGCAAATCCGCCACGGAAGTCAACGCTGTCGTGTTTGTCAGCGAGATCACCAACCCCCTGCTCCAGGCGCGCTGGTTCCTGCGGGAAACGGGCCGGTACCACACCTTCCTGGGAGAGCTGGTGGATTCCCTCTTCGTGCTGCTCTTCCTGGTGCTCAGGATGGCGGGAGGAGCCTGCATCATGCGTGCCATGGTGGTGTCCCCCCATCCCAGCTGGCTCCTCAAGGCTGGGGGCCTGGCCATGTACGTGGTGTCTCTGGGGTTCATGGTTGAAATCTGCCGCTTTGTCAGGAGGAAAATGGTGAAGAAGCGCCTTCCCTGGAGGCACCTGAGGAGTGGGAACGAACCTGTGAGAACTAATGGGCACGTGGCTGCTCACTGATGGGTTGGGAGGACAATCCCCTGGGCTACTGGAGTTTATTCCTATGAGAAGAGCCCCTAAAAT